CAGGGGTTATCCAGTGGACATTTATAGGACATTAATACTTATTATAATACTTAAGAGTTCTAAATTATATTAAATAGCCTACATAACTGAAAGTAATCATGTATGCGTATTAAATTTTCATAAAATATATTTATAATGATATCTTAAAACGTCCTACAAAAGTCCTGAACCGTCCTGGACATATTCAGGATGATCCTGAGGACGTCTTGTGCTGTCTGGGTGCTTTTGCAATATTTTATTTTTCTGTATAAATAAGATAAGAAAATATTCTATACGTTTATGATAGGATGTTTATATTCTATTCTATATATATTTACTATCAGATGTGTGTGTGTGTGTGTGTGTATTTTATATCTGATCCAACTATCCGCAAGTATCACGAAGAATTTTGCAGCTTTATTTTTTTATAAATGAAAGCATACGCTATATAACACTGCACTCTTGCATTGCAAACTTAACCTATACCTGTCGAAAACAGGTATGGATGTGAGCAGTAATATTACGAAGCGCCGCTAGCGCGCTCTTATGTCGGAGGCTCCAACCGTACACCTTTTGCACATGCGCGTTGGGGATTTGCGTTGATGATGATAATGATAATGACGTGGACGTTTCTTAAGAAGAAAATTTCATATTAAGACTTTGCATCATGATATATCTATTTACAAAACACGTAGAGCAAAAATAAAGACACTTTCTTTATGTAATTCATACTTAGGCTATCGATTAAGCCTAATAAGAGCTTGATCCGTTCATCGGTTATATTGAAATCTGAAAATCTCAAAAATTTTCAATACTTTCAACAGGCCGACTCGCGTGAAGATACACGGTGCGTCTTGCTGTTGCGCGCGACTTTTAGCTTCGCGCTTACTTGACGCGAGACACTACCGTCTCTCTTGATACGACACGCACTGAAACTTAAATAATGATTATAATTAATACGAGATACACACATACACACACTCACACACACACACACACACACACACACACACACACACACACACACGCACGCACGCACGCACGCACACGCACACGCACACGCACACGCACACCCACACGCACACGCACACCCACACGTACACGCACACGCACACCCACACGCACACGCACGCACACACACACACACACATATACAGGGTGTCCGATAATTTTTGACACACCCGAAGTGTGAAGGTAGATTGGCACAAATTGAAAAGGAAAGTTCTATACCATTTTGCAATTTTCGTAATAATTATTGACAAATTAATTAAAAAAGATCGACCAATTCGCGCGAGTATAAGCGCACAGCGAGAAGAGACAACCCGAAAGTAGGCGCGCGACAAAATTTTGGTAGGAGTGCTCTACAAACAGTTACGTACGAGCGGTACATAACGATGGATTCTCGCGTCCTAGCAACCACATATCAATGCCGCCCATATCAGGCCATTCTTTCTCACCGCGCGATAATACTTGCGCGAATTGATCGATCTTTTTTAATTAATTTTTCAATAATTATTATGAAAATCGCAAAATGGTACAGGACTTTTCTTTTCAGTTTGACCCAATCTACCTTCACACTTTGGATGTGTCAAAAATTATCGGGCACTCTGTATGTATACAGGGTGGTCCATTTTAAAAGAGCCAGTCAAATATCTCGAAAAATATGGAAGATACGGAAAAACGTTTCAGACAAAAGTTGTTTGGTTCGAAGGGGGACATAAGATGGTGCCATTGATGTATTCTTGGATAGTCATTTGAAAGTCACATGAAGGTCACTTTCAATTTCTTAAATGGAAACCCTCATTTTTTATTGCATATTCTTATAGCTTATGTCGAGAGCTTTCCAAAACACTATAATAAA